ATTAAAAGTCCAACAGACAGTCCGTCCGAAGGTGACGGGCGTCTCCACAACCAAAACACCATCGGGTGTTTAATCGCTGCCCAGCAGCTCGGGGCACTGCCCTCTCTCTCTTTCAGCATAGCTGAGATACATGGGCATAGACCCGCTCGACGAGCTGCTAGGATGTGCATTCCAACCAAGTCGTGCCGACTTAAAGCTAAATTTGGCATTTAATGCCACATTCACCGCTTTTTAAAAAACGGATGCACACGAAAGACTTCCATTCTGGCCACGCCAGTGCGGAGGCCCTCCACAAAGACGGTCACTGTGACCGCCTCGGGGAGAGGATCGGCTGCCACTCCGGCAACGAAAGCACGCAAGTCTTGGACAAAGTCCATCAGTTCCTTCTTTTCCTTTTGGGCGGCAAGAAAACTCGATCGCACGCGATATACCGGGTAAGGCGGCGAGAACACTCGTGAAAACTGAAGCTTCAGCTCCGTTCAAGAGGGAGACGCCGCTTCAGCCGAAGTGCCGCACGTCAGTGTCCATTCTTGCGCTCGACCACCGAGCTTGGAGATGGCTAAGGCCACGCACTGTTGCTAAGTCTAGAGTATGGCGCAGGCCGTAGCCCTCTTGGCCTCTCTCACCCCGAGCAGGAGTTTCTCTTCATCCTTACCCTCGAAGGTCTTAACGCTCACGACGATCGACCTGGGACGGAAGAAGTCATGCATCGTCGACGGACGCAGTCGACGCTGACATCTTCTTCTCTAGGTGTTCTAGCAGAGCATTTTCATAGTTCGAAAACGCCTCTAGGCGCGCACTTATCGCTTTGGGTCCGTGCAAAGCAAGGTGTTGCACGCCCTCAGGGCCAAGCAGGGACATCAGCTTTTACAGCCGATCCTGAATGCCTTGAGGCAAATAGGAGAATTGCTCCACATTCATAGTTGATCAGTCTAAACGACTGAGGTGTAGATTTACTACAAGTGCTACCAAGTGCAACTGGGCTGCCGTAGCTCTTTTGCTTATAGGAAGCTAAGCTAAGGTCACCGACATTACGTTCTATACTAGATCTAGTTCGAGAGTAGCGAATTGCAATCTACTAACTCAAAGAGTTTATCCACAATCTTAACCCAATGCAAATCAGCTCTTTCGTTCAAAACTGTCTTTCGTTGTATCATTTGCGACAGAGCGGCCTTTATCGAAATCTTTATGTTTTTCTAATTGTATAGTAAAAATCTGATTAAAATGCATACCTACTGGCAGTGGCTTCTTGTTAAGGTGTGGCTCCGCAGTATGGTGTGACCATTGTGTAGTCACATCATATTGTGCGACCCATCCCTTCATACCAGAGTACGTGTAATCACGTTACTTTTAATGTATTAACTTATTCCCCGGCAGCTGCGCTTAATTTATCAAGTTTGCCGCGGCTTCACAAAGCCCAGGACGCTGATGTTTAGCAGCCAACAACCGTGGGCTGTAATGCCCACCTCTTCCAGCGAATCTTTCTTTTTAGAGCTGGGCCCCACTTTCAAGAGGTGCGATATAACCCAATTATTTTCCAGTAGACCGCCCTGCATTTCCTAGAACACGACATTTACCCGCAAGGCGTTTAGCGGTGATTCTGTGCGACATCTCGACCCTTTCTACTTTGAGTCGAAAAGTACGAGGATAGAAGGGTGCATGTGCTTTGTATCACCGCAGATATGCGCTCTGTGAATGCCGTGGAGTTGCTTAGCATCAACCAATCTCTTAATATGGCTGAGATTCATCGCCTCTGGCATGCTCGTAGAGATTACACGTCACGAACTCCGACCGGCACTTGCAGTTGAATGCGTACTCCGCATCTAATCCAACCCCATCGCTACCTTGAACGATGTATGGTGGACGCAGAAGGTCTTGGTGCCAGCAGCACCTGTTCGGAGACCTTCCATGATGATAGTTAATATTACCGGGGGCTTGCCGTCTTGGCAGCGAGAACAATCGTTCCTACTGGACACAGTCCGCTAGTTCTCGCCTGTCTTGACAGGTTGGCAAGAGCTTGCTTTCATCTGATATACCTGATTAGGCGATGATAAGACCCGGTATATGTCACATAGAACTACCCAGGTTGACAATACTGCACGCTGCTGCACATTCACGAGCGCGGTCTTCGCTTGAGAACCGCTGGCGCGACCACTCTTGCTCTGTCCTGAGCATGTCTGAGCTCATGTCCGTCTCATTTCTCATCATCCAGAGGAAAAGAAAATCCTTAATCTGCATACAGAGGGCTGGACGCCCTAACACAAAAAAGGAGTACCGTTTTTGCTCCCGCCGACTTCCGGTTGAGGGGTCTCTCCTGGATGGACCACACAAACCCAACCTCTGTGCGTTGTATACGCGGAATTTTTATAACATAAGCTTCCTATCTACACAATAACCGCATTTCATATCCCGTCTAACGCATGAGTGTTTGCCAAACGACTGGCCACATTAAGAATGTCGTTCATTAGGTAAACGGTAGTGCATAACGAAGCACTTGTTCTGGCGCATGAGATGTCATCGCTTAGAGACGTATGCCTTCCAGAGCTTGGCGGGGACATGGAGTAAGGTGAATGGACTTACCACTTTACCTGGTTAAATCATACAGAACTGTTGAGATTGGCAACTGCATTTTTCATCAGGCAATTTAAATGCTCATTTCTAGAAAACAACTCGGTGAAAGAAAACATCCCCTCCCCCCCAAAAAAAAACGTAGTGCTTGTGCTTCTGATTTTAGTTTAAATTTTTAAGCAAGCCTTCGGTCATGCGAGGCAGTGCCTTTGGTGTCACAGCATTAAACACTACCAATAATGCAGGCTCAATATGCGCACTTGCTGCGCAGGTCGAAAGAAAGTTCTTCGACAAAAGAAGGTTAATAGTATAAAATACCTCGTATTGCTCGAAGGTCTCTCTGTTCAGTAATCAAAACGCCACAGGCTGCAATGATATGCAAGCACGACGCGATAGCGTATATGAACAAGGTCAGTGATATTTTATGAGGCTTGTATGTGACAAAGGCCAATCAAAGTAAATAGAAAATGAAAGCTCATCTGCAAGTCGCGCACATTATTGCATGAATCATGTACTATATACTATAGAGCAAACAATCAAAAGTGAACGAAGAAACGGATTGTTTGAGCCATACAAAATGCGACTTCGACATTAAGAGCCTTTTCTTTAGCCTACCTTTACTTTTATAACGTAAATTGATGAGGAACATACGCACATACAATATAATGATGTAGGAAAATTTTGACGGCATAAATAAAATTCTGTGAATTTTTGCTCTCAAAGTAACAGTCTGGATTGTTTATTTCTCATTGACGCATCCATGTGCGGCTGCTCGTCGATCGGATGTAAAGATGCTGTTGACAAACTATAGTATCAAATCCGCACAATAATACACATTGGACTGTCTCAGTACAAAAAATCTACATCTTTGACGGCCAATAGTCTTTCTCTGATCACAAGATTAGTGAATGGACCGGCTCAATACATTTGCAGATAGGGTGAAAACGAGTATTTTGATCATAGGAGAAGAGAAGACCGGCTCTAGTATCTAATTCGCTCCGTATATGCACAAATTTCTCTTCTTCAAAAGTCATTTTTATATTGTTTGCGAACAACTACGACAACTAAAGAGTGACAAACACTTGAACAACGCCCATGACACGTGCCGAATGTGTCGCTGTCTGGAAAGCTGCTCGGGACGGTGACGATGCTAAACTTCGAGAACTACTTGTAGATACACGGGACGCTTTAGGCCCTAATCTTGTCAATTGGAAACATCATAATCATGGGACCACGGCACTAATGGTTGCTGCCGAGAGCAAGCGTGGGGCGGAGGTCGTGTGGCAGCTCGTTTCTGCTGGTGCTGACGTCAATGCCGAAGATGATACAAAACTAAAAAACACAGCACTCCATTATGCGGCTATGACCAAATGCGATTCTGGGGTGGTTGATGCACTGCTGGCCTCAGGTGCAGACGCGTTCGCTATAAACCGTAAGGGGTTGTCACCGATTGATTTGGCGCGGCTGTACCGTCGGGAAGCTGTTGTTGCGTCCTTAACAGATCACATGAAAATTCACAGCGGCTGGTTGTACTTGCGGGGCAAAGTGCATTGGAAGAAGCGCTGGGGTGTTGTGATGGCCTGTAATAAACAGCGTACATCAAGAGAGTTATGTCTTTTCCAGAATCCTAAAGATATTCGTCCGGAAGCCGTGCTTCTCGTCGACGAAGCTTCCCGCGCGTCACCATTTGTTTCCAGCGATAATTATTTTTGGCTCAAGCGTGAGTATGCATTTGTTTTCGACAAACCAGTTATGTGGCAGAACGTTAGGCGACAGAAGCTCACGCGTTCACCCATTTGCCGTAAAACCATGAGTCTTGAAGACGTTCAAATTCGGCACCTCGTCTTCGCCGCCGACAATCACTATAACGTAAAGTGCTGGCAAAGAGTTTTAGAGAGCACCAATTTTTACGACCACGAGACCGGAGCTTCTTTGTATGGTTTGCAACCGTATGATGCAGCTCATGGCGAGCTCTACTACTGGCCGCACGAGCTAGTCCAAAATGTGCGTTCGTCAATGAAGCGTCAATCTGAAGCGCGCAATTTCGGTAACACAACGTTTTACGAGCGGCTTCGTCATTCACTTGACCAAGCACAACCTCAATCCGAGACTGAAGAACTTCTCGCAGACATTTTAAGAGGTCTAGAGGAGTCCAGCAATGCCGAAAGCAGTAGATCACGAGTGCGATTTCAAAAGACAGTCGAAGTTTATCAGCCAGATCAGTCCCCTTCGCCAAGTGATCAAGAATATAGTTATGTCAGTGAAAGCAGTATTGAAGCAAGCCATACGTCATCGTCAATGCTATCGCAGCAAAACGAGGAGATTCCAGATTTGTGTACAATGTGCTACACACGGCGAAGGGATGCCGTCTGCGCTCCTTGTGGGCATCGGGCTGGTTGTCATGCCTGCCTGAAGACTGTGATGAGAACCACGCATTCCTGTCCCTACTGCCGAACCCGTGTACGTTCCATAATGAGAGTCTACGACTAGACGAAATGTTTGTATCTGCTGGACTAGCACATTCTCTTTCAGTAAAACTACGATCTTGCCAAGGAAGCATGATTGTAGAATCTAGTGAGCTACCTAATAACAGTCTATAATATACAGCTCCAACATCATTACATCATTTTAATAAAAGGAATTAATTTCAATAGGATGGACTGAAATTATAGTGGCTCAGTGTTTGAAAAAACAGCATTACGAAATGTTTATCGAGCTTTGAAGCGAGCCGCTGCTCCGAGAATATGTAGCTGACCCGATACTTTACTTAATTAGATTATAACGAAATCTTACTTCCGTAGTAATTGAAATTTAATGTTACAGCTAGACTCGTGCACGATCAACACAAGTCTAAATTTCATAAAATGTTCTGATGAAGGAGTTGCGACCTCAAACGCCTCTGTTCCAGACGGCCTGGGGCATATAAGCACACTGGTTCAACTCGCAGAAAATAACATTATGCAACACACCCATTAAGTAATCATGAGCGTAGCGGAGTGGACCCAAATGAAGCCATGCAGGTGACAGAAAATCTTGAATCAGTCATGTTTACGAAACAATCAAAGATTTAAAATTAGCCGGATCAGTAAAAAAAACTCAATCATTGAATGACGCAATATGGCCACCAGATGCTACGAGGAAAACTCTTACAATAGCATATGGAACCTGTGAATGTGCGCGCAAAGCTGAAGCCAGATAGGTTGGGTGCTTGGAGGGAGGTAAGCTTCAAAAATTTCCGACGGTGCCCTTTCCGATTTCACCTTTAAGTAGCCTTTGTCCAAGGTTTTATCACTAAAATAAATAGTTGCTGTGCGGTAAACTTCAACGACAGAACTATTACGTGGACTTCATATGATGACGAGCTAGATTTTTCCCTATTAGCACGTGAAAATCACAATCACGGACACCACGACGATAAACGCCAACATTTTGATACTCATCTTGCCTCGCATTGTCTTGAGATATCAGCTACCGAAATTTGCACGCTAGGATTACGCGTTCTATAGCGCGGGGTTCACTTTAGTGACCTATTTCTGGCTGCCTGACTTCTATGCGTGCACCCCCCTCGTCCCAGGTCAAGTGAGTCCAGGGTCAGTACACGCATTGTCTAAATTAGACGAAGCAACGGCGTATTGCGCTTGCGATTCTAGGAGGACTGCTCAGCGATACTCGATCGACTGGCGATGTATGTAACGGGGTTACATGAGAGTGACCCGTCACTCTCCCAAGGGAGCTGTGGTTTGGCATACACCACAGCTACTAGATGGGTACATGGCTTGAGAGTCATGTAATAGGAAAACATTAAGGAACACCTATAAATATATTCAGTCTTAAATCTACCTAAATTTGGTTAACGTGTCCTCGGACCAAGGATCTGTGAACTGCCGTTCACTTAGAGTTTGTATACTTCTGGAAGTCAAGCTTCCTCTGTGCAAGGTGCCGTGTGACCCGTCACAATGTAGCTGTCTAAACCGCACCGTGTCATCGGCAAAATCTATCTTGACGATATATTCGTGCATAGTCGTGGGTTTTTAACTGTGAAGAATCTAACTTGACCCTTTTGAGCACTGCTCGGGTGTTTGCACTAGTAATAATCTGTTTGTCAATAGTCCACGGCGCTACCGAATTCCAAATCCACAAAGATCAAGGCCATCGTCAATTGGCCAGAGCCTCAGTCTCAAGGAAATCAATGGAAGTAGCTTGGTCTGGCTGACAACTTGCACAAGTATAGTGCAATGCAATAAATGTAGACATGACACGACTTCTCAACAGTCTCCATGAACAAGATGATAAATGGGGCTGGGTCTAGCAAAAGTGGTGACCTTCAAGGCTAAGAAGAAAGCCTTATGTGGCCCAATTTCTCTCTCGTCATTATCTGGACTGAAATTCCATGGCATAAGTGTCTATAGCCATTGCCATGGGTTGTGCTACGCTCCAAGCAGATGTTATGTGGCAGTATTATTTGATTGTCGCCTCATCAAAGCGATACAGTTAACTACCCGATACAGTTAACTACCCGATACAGTTAACTACCCGATACAGAAGAAGGTACTGATTGCAAAAATAGCTATGCTCACGTCATTGTCAGAATAAACTACCTCGACTCTAAGCAATTTGTGCCCTATGCAAATTATACCTCGTTGCGCAAAGCGATGCTGTCACCATATCACATAAAATGACAAGATAGCTACCTTCTACGCCGAGGATATTCAAAAAGCCTGATCGGCCAAATGTGGTGGTATATGTGTTTTCGCGTCACTCCGACTATGAACTGTCGCATGTCACACATTTTGACGTCATCAACTGATGAGGCGATACTTGCAATGTGCGAGTTTGACCAACATGTTTTGCGTTGCCGAAAGCTTTGAGAAGCAAGGAGTTCGTTAGCTCAGGTGCCGCTATATCAAAGCGTTCGATATCAATTATGCACCGCTATCTCATATCCCAAGCCTCGCTATACTCCAGCGCTGACCCACTTGAGATTTATCGTGTAGTGGTATTTCATGATGATGCCCTCCAGTACAAAATATTGTACAATTTGCTATGCGTGCTATGTATTGGTGGCTCAACGTGTATGCATGGGTGACTGCGTATACGCATACGTGTCAAACTTGTCAGCGGATTAGCCCACCACCAACACCACATCCATCGGCGCCTTTGGTCTATCTGTGGGTACAAGCAAAGTATTGGCAATTCATAAGTATGAACATTATCCGAGGTCTTTGAAAGAGCGCATCCGAAAATACTAGTTTGTGTGTGTTCTCTGTGGGCCGTTTAAGCAACATGATTCGTTTTGCTGTTGTCAGGGACATGATTACTAATGATAAAAACAGTTGCGCATATCCGCTAACATGGCGTGCCGATAGCAATTGTGTCGGGTCAAGATTCGTGTTTTACAATAAAGTAATGGCGAACATCGCTTTAGGGTGAAAGGCACCATACTGGACATGTATACCGCTGACCATCCGCGACAAACGGTCAGATAAAACGCGTTAATCGTTCAGAGTGAAGTATCCTGCGCAGCACTTGCGCAGAGTGTCCGTGGTGCTAGAAAGAAATTCTCTTAATCCGTTCATTTGCCCTAGAATGACGTAGCATATGCCTAATGAAGGTTGACATCAAATCCAAAACAAAAAGCAGATGCGAGTGGCAAGCCAAAACTATATTGATATGCAAATATCATTTTCAATTTAAGCACACATGCAGTAACTGCACCCGCCTCGACTGGTTGAGCTCTTACCATAACAAAGGTTACGTTCATAATCACTATGCGATAGAGCTGAAAAATGGTGTTGCAACTTCAGCGCTTGCAGATGTGCAAGTTGATGTCTTAAGACAAATTCAGTTCATTGTTGATGATATGATCATCGTCGCGACTTCGCGGCGGGGTGTCGCAACGCTTTCCGCCGAAGTGATAGGAAGAGAGTGTGTATTTTGCGCTGAATAGAGGAGGAGCCTAGAATGTGGCTCTTCCGCAGCGAGCAGCTTTGCCATTCTATACACTGTGAGGACGAAGGTGCTAAATCAGGACTCGGGGAATCACAATGACCGTTCTGACTGAAAGCATATCGCCCTCCTCTTTCAGTCACAAATACTGCGCCTTTCTTGGAAGCTCGCTGAGAAATTTATGGGTCAACATTCCCGGGGCAAAGCTGCATATAGGGGCAAACTTTGTAGGGTCTTTGAGGGAATAGAAACCCCAGGCGCAGCGGGTGTTCGTCAGGCGCTCGCTTTTTTGTAATTTTCTGAGGAATACAAAAAAATTGTGATGGGTAGTAAGGTCCACGTTCCAGAGAAAATGTTAATGGATACGTACTATACTATGCGTGCAACGGGGTATCATGTACCCTGGTATGAAGGTTGTGCAACACACAACATGGTGCGATTACACAATCGAGTGGTTTACTCACGATAGTGTAACCACACAATGGTGTGGCTACACCTAGACAACAAGTCAGTACGTGGCTAAACAGCCAGTAGTTATACATCTAATTAGGGTTTACTATGTAGATCCAAAAAACCTACAGATTTATTTATAGGCGACTTCGCCGCAAATAAAACCGAAAAATACAGTTTACATTTCAAACGGAAGAGTTGACTAGCCTTAGGTCAAGGTTGTACTTACTCTTGGGTAAGCGGACTGCGATCCGCTACACTCGTACTGCTTCTTAATGTAGAACGAAGATTACGACCTTAAACAAGCTTCTTCCAAGCGAAATAGCTACGGCAGCCCCGCTGCAATGTATCGATACAAATCAAATCTCAGTGCAGCTGTTCAAAAATATACCTCTGTGTGATCTAAAGTGTATGCGTTAGAACTTTTGTGTAATTGAGCAAAGGTCAGAGGAAACAAATTAATGATTCTAGTAAGGACAGTCGAACCATGTAGAGGAAATTTCTGGGCACCCGGTTGAACTTGCGCACGCAATATAGATAAATTTGTCATTGATCATAACAAAAAATTATAGTTTAATTTGAATATATGATAATGTTGAATGTAAATAAGAGCAACATAAACGCATCGTTTCTTAAAGGCTCTAGGTCCCGCTCCTGTTTGTGGCGTACGAGCCAAACCCTGGATCAGTTCTTCGAGTCGATTTTTCGCTTTGCAAGGCACACAGCAGCCCCATTGCACTTTTCAGTTCCTGGTATCCCAATTTACAAGCGCCTAAATTCTCGCGGGCTTGGGATTAAAAACACAAACTTTGGGCGTGTCAGCTTTTTGTACTGCAAAGGCTACAGGGTAGATGTCATGCCAAATACATAGCGTTCGATTAATCGTATGGCATTGTTTTAAGAATGAACGCGATTCGGAAAGGGATCAAGCGCATTGCGTTTGCAGCGGATGGCCAGATTGAAATATTACCAACTATTACACAGGTGCGAGTGCGTGTCAGACATCTATTTCGTGCAATGACGAAATTAAAGCTGGACAAGCGATTATGAGACTTTGCCATTTTTAGGCGCTTAACATATATAAAAATGTAGGGGTAGATATGATCATCAAAAATACACTCTCTCTTACTATTATATCTCAACGCTGCAACGGCTGTTGGTGTACATGTAAATTTCCTTGTTGTCCATCTCCCATGAAGCAAAGCTCGGAAGTACAAAACTCAAGCGGTAAAATTGATGATCCTGTTTCATGAAGGTGATGCGAATCTTTTTAAGGGAGACTTTCGGAGGACGCGTCGGCTGCATGACTCATGTTATGCGCGGAGCTGATCTGCTGGCAATTCGTCTACACTTTCCTAGAGAGGCACTTTTAAATTGAAAGCAAAGTACCTAGTTGCTTCAGAGGCTTTCGGTACTTTCCCTCAGAAATGTGTTCGATCCTATCCTATGTGTGTTTATTACTCCGGGCTCGTAGATTCAAATAATACTTCATGCAGGTTTCAAGGCAACCCGGTTGCAGATGATGAACCCAATTCGTCTCTGTTTCTAACCGTAGCAGTTTGTTGGTTTCTTCGACTTGAAAGTCTCGATCACATTGATCATGGACTACTTTTCAAGCTCCACGAGGGTCCCTGCTTGGAGCAATCGGGGAAAACTAGACTCCCTTACACTACTCTTGTCACTCAACTTTGTATCATTGCCTCGGATTAAGATCCGCACAATCAAGTAAATTTACAATGAATTTTGGTCAGAGTGCTTGCTTGTCACCAGCTTGGACTTGATCCCCGAGGACAATGCCAGACAGAAGGGCATCAGACGCGCAATTTCATGATGAAGGATATCCTTCAAAGACTTACGCGGTGCAACTGCGGTGGTGAGATGACATCTTCTCACTAAATGCGCTCACCGCTATATACTTCAATATAAAATGTAGGCTGATCAAAATGTTAAAGAAGAGAGCGTTGGTCAACGTTAGTATACCGATTAAATACCGGAACCCCTGCAGATGTAGAATATCCTATCAGAGCAGACGACAGTATATACAGTAACAAGCTTAGAGGTGAAAACTAGTCTTGCGAACCGAAGACGGATTATTTTAATTTAAATTCTGCTACCTTTCACTCGAGTGATTTGTTTAACACCCATTCGTTAATTTTGACACCATCATAAAGTGGTTGTGGTCTTTGTGGGAGAATTGATACTAATTGACTTGCAGATATCGGCCCGGTTACTTTGCAGCAAATCTTTTGGCACGATTTATCGATACTTGCTGAGTATTGATGAGATCCACAATGTGCAAAAGCAGCATACCGATGCAAAAGGTAGGTAGAATGTGCATGAATTTAGTTTCTTCGCCGAATCGCTAATTTGCGACTTGATATGGATCTAGCTACAATTTTAATATTTCAGAATAAAGAAGATAATATCTTGTGTTCTGCGTGACATTAATAAGGCATATAACAACCCCACTCTAACAGGGAAATTGGATGCAAAGCGTTCTGTCGAATACGAAGTCATGTCGTGGTTATCGCTCGTACTCTCTCTTTGCTGGTCTATCATTGGCTTCAGCGCAGCGATCTCGTTCTGAGTTACTCTGAACGGCTCAAGCGAATCGGTTCTAGTGAGCAGCTCAGAGAGCGCATCCAAGAAAAGGATGAGTATTTGTTTTGGCCGTGGAGTGAGACAAATCTCTCGAAGATAGTCATTGCGTAACCATCATCGAGTATAGGCCACGTAAGAAACCACTGTAGCCGGTTCTAGCCGGCTCTGCTTGAACAAAACAGTTATAAGAAATATAGGTGCACTCATAATATCATGTAAAAAAAATTGAGAAATTAAATTTGATAGAAGGATTACACGATTTGCGAGGGGTATCCTACTTCCAAGTGATGCAAAAAGAACCCACCAGAGGCCAGCATCGAGTGAATAAAAAAAAAGTTTCATACACTTCGGTTTTTTTTAAACTTTGAAGCCTCACTTCAGCAAGTTTTTCCTAAGCTGATAGCGCTTTTAGTGTGGCGCATCCTCTGCCCTAAATTCTCCAGAAGAAGCAAAAATGCCGCGCAACGCAGCGTACTTCTACTAGCGAGTGGACGCAGCATTTGGTACTTGGTCGGTAGCTGTACCAGCAGTTTAGTGGGAATGTAATTTGCTTAGGCAAGATCGGAGGAGGTGAGCGCCCGCCTTAATCGCGTTGTCGTACTTTGCTACTTGTAAAGTCAAGCATCAAGCGACTAGTCAAGCATATGTTTTGCTGTAACTGGCTTTAAGGCCGTAAAGGGTAAGGCAACGTGCGCTCTTCGCCCGATGTTGCATTTTAGTAATGTACTCTTCAGTACTTTTGCTGAAGCTTATGACCAAAAAACAGTCCCCATAAAGAATACAGACGCACCTGACCTCTGCAAACACTCTCGGAACAAGTTCCGAGCGCCATTTTTTGTCCACTTGTGCGAATTGCCTCCGCCGCGATGACGTAAGCGACATCAGATGAATCCAATGCCTAGTCACGACCTCAATTCAGCCCAAAGCAAGTCTATCTTATGTTGCTACGACTAGTCCGCTTACCCCCAGAGGTACGTCTTATTATTAACAAGCTGGGACTCTTGATGAATTCTGCGGATAGGTATCATAGCTCTTTTCGCCATAAGTTTGAGCCAACTTATGAATGAGATTACGCGGAGAGGTGAGGTTCTTGCTCCTCTATCAGTATTGGAATCGAAACAACATATACTGAGGATTAGTTACCTAATACTAAACGTATACGGTTCAATATCTCTTATAATGAACTGTCTTGATTTTAAGCCACGCAGCTAGCAGACCACGCGTACCTTAATTCGGAGTTCTGTCATCTTCATTCATACCAATAATACGGTGTGTATGATCATATATAATTATACCTAGCTTATGGTAGAGTTCGTATGATTTAACCATGTTGCATTTAATACAATTGTACAAAAGCTGTGAGATCTAAGTAAAAAAATGTTACAATACCTGTCCCCATTCCACGAAGATGTGGACCACACTGGAATTCACGCATATATTGTCTCTTATGACACTGCGCAAAATTGATTGATTCTCAAAAAACACTGCTTTGAGAGTTCCACCCACTCTCTGCACTGGACTGTGTCTGCTCTTCTGAACGTACTTGCACCGGAGTCGGCTCCCGTGCGTCAAATAAAATGGCTTAATTATCTCCCACAAATAGCGCGGTCTTCGCGACCGTCACGCTCAAAGAAATTATCGGTGAGGATGTCGAAATGTTATTCGATAAGAAGGCCTAAGTGACTCTCCAAGTCCCGATCAAACACCTATGTCCTCACCCAGCAATACACAGCTTAGCCCTTTACCAAGGAATCGCTTCATGCGCACAGCCTCCCCACTGAACAAGTCGCGAATTCTTTGTCGTGTCCATTGGCAAAAAGAGCCTAGACACCCCGCCGTGAAAAGCACAACAATACTTGGCTCGTATCCAGCGAGCTAGACTTTGCTGAAGGGGCCAGCTTGCTCAACTGTAAGTGCAAGGGTCACGCCGGAACTTGCTTAAACCACTCGGTGATTACGGATGTGAACCGTCAATAGTTGCCTTTCAGGCAGCCTCGCGATCTCCATATGACAGCTGTAACACCTACCAAAAAGGTTATTAGTCACCTCACGGTCTGCAACCTTCATAAGGGAGTGGGACGATGAAGCGAGCGATCCTTCCTTATCTCATAAGAAGTTAAAAACCGAGGGTATGCGAGGTCGTAAATGGCCACGATATTTGAAAATCTTGCTGAAATGGAACCAAATTCCACGAGTTTCGAATCGAAAGTAGCCCTATCACACCAGGGGTGCACCCTTCGGCCGGCAAATGCTCCACGTGAAAGTGGACCACTCTTTGTTCATTGATCAGTGCCGGCGGGGATCGACACTCCCGTGGATGGCTTGTTGGCTTCTGTGAGTTCATTCGGTCGTTGCAGAACGTTGACTTTCTCCGTGAATTGTGGCATGCATCTGTGACTGATTAAGCTGTGATGCACAAATCTTAAATATTCTCTTAACTTCTCCATAGCACTGCCTGACTTGAGACACCCTCATCGGTTCTAAACCGCGTCGTTGCTTTAACTCAGAAATTTCTCAGCTATACTAGAGAGTAGATCTGTCAGGGAAATCGGCGTGGGGGATTTCTTGTCATTAATTCCTCCACAAAAAGATGTAAAGGGCGGTAGTATCCTTGATTATACGATACCACTCTACAATTACAGAATCATCCATTACAGATGACGAGCTGATATCCTGCTCCAGTACCAACCGTATCATTCCAGTGACCTCACCACCTTGCAATTTCTCACCCGTATACCTTCAAAATAAATCCTCTAGCTCTATGTGATCATCTGCCGGAAGTGGTTCGGGGACACTTACAACCTTGAGGACTACTTCAATCAATTTATTACGAGTAAATAATCATTCTCGTCACCTGTCTGTGAAACCACACATATTCGCATAGTGGACCCGATTCGCGGAAGCGTCACCGTTATATCGTGACAAGGATACACCATCCTTCTTCTAGCTCTGCAGCCCCCTTTAACTTCACCGAACCTGCACAAAAGAAAACAACTCAAAGCCGTTATTTATCGGCTCGCCAGAATTACACTTTGGGTGTAACGCGGTTACATGTACCCTGGTAACAGGGGTGTGTATCACACGAGATAAGCATGGTGTGACTGCACCCAAATAAAAATACGGTATGTGGCTGGGTAGCCAGTAGTTATGCATGTAGCTATATATATTTAAGAAAATCTATACATTTAAAATTAGGCGGCTTTGCCGCAGAAAAAAATAATCAAAGTCATTTTTGAATTTAAACCGAAGAGTTAGTTAGTCTTAAGTTAAGGCTAAAATTACGGCAGCCCCACTGCACTTGGTAGCATTTGTATTCAATCTACACCTGAGTCGTTTAGACGGGTCCTCTGTGAGTCTGGGACAATTTATGCCCCAGGGCACGCAGGACGGGCTTAACAAACTGATGTCCTTGCTTGGCCCTGAAGGCGTGCAACACCTTACGGCGCAAGGCCCCAAGGCAATCGATGCGCGTCTAGAGGCGTTTTCAAATTACAAAAACGCGCTGCTAGAGCACCTGCAGCAGAAGATGTCTGAAGCATTTGCGTCTATGACGCCACCGTCAGTGACGGAT